TTAAACTAAAAAAAATTCAGGCTTCAAAAAATAAAATTTTTATTACTACACTTTAATAACACTCCCGCCTTTCGTATATAGTGGATTTTAGACCAACTCCAAACTTTAAAAGAAAAGAATTATCAGGCTGCTGCTAGTCTGATACAGCGGAAAAGCACAGTTTTCTCTCAGAAGTGACATGTACATCTGTCCGTGGTGGATAGGAGGCTGTACTTATTATCCTCATTTCAACTTGCATGAAGCTACTCCATCTATATTAGCAATTAAGAGATGAGCTTTCAGCCCATTTCTCAAATAATCCCCCGGAAAAAGTGGCTAATATTAGAAAGGCATTATCGCATGAGCCGATTTCCACCGCTTCAATGTCCAATCGCTTAAAAAAAATTCATGCTCGAGTCCTAAGTCACCTGTAAAATCCGTGTTTTACCTCTTAATAATTGCTCACAAAATCCGTGCCTCAGTCCATGGCTCAATCCCAAATCCATGATGCCTCATTAAAATCCATGCCTCATTCCTAAAGTTTACGAAATCCGTATCTTAATTATCAGTCACTCGTGAGATCAGCATTTCAGGAACAGCATTTACTTTATTAAATCTGCATGCCGCATACCTGGAAATGATTTTTCTTCTGATTCACAAAGCAATTGTCCATCATGCTGTAGTTGAATCCTTTATCAGCAACAACATGCATTTCCAGTTGATGCAACGGTCTCTGATTGATGTCGTAGAGTGTGGCCCAGTGTTCTTCATTGAAACGAGCAAATTTGATTGCTTGCTGATGGAAATTATCATCGAAATCCTCCAGCGCAGTGACTGGCGATGGAATTACAGTCAACTGGCTGGGAAGTGTAAAGACCTGCAAAATTTTTTATATTTTAATATTTTTATTTTCTCTCAAAATTTTTAATAAATTTTAATACTTTAATATTCTAAAGAAACTGTTTCTATTGAAAATAGAGGAATAGAAGAATTTCACTTGAATGTCATGTGTATGAAGACATTTTATGGCGTAGTCTATGTTTCATCCCCTAGCTGTATACACAGACCATTCTGTGCGTGCGGGTGGGAGTGGCAGTCATCAGTACACCCTCCTACCTGAAGTCTTATAAAGAACGTAGAAAAAATGGGAGCTGAAGTGGCTATGATGAAAAGTACTGGATGAACGGGATATGACATGGTAAAATACTGTAACCGTTGTACAGTATGCTCTACAGTACTTTGTACGTACCAAAGTACTGCACAGTACTAAAACATTGTATAATTTACACCTAAAATATCACGCGCATCAAAAAAAATCGTATAATTTATTTTCAATTACCGCATCCATTCATAATAAATGATACAGTGCTCGAATACTTGCTAATGGCCCTTATGCAGTCATCCAAAGCCTAATTTTGCAGTATCTTCTCTGCGGAATCCCCCGCAATAACTCAGCAGTAATCGAAAAAATTATCACACTACAGAGCAATAATCGAAAAAAAAGATTTGCATAAAAAACGGTAAAATGTTCCAATTTCTTATTTTGGGAGCTAGGACACATGGTTAACAAATGCCATTTCCAAAAATTCGGTGACACTGGAAATAGAGAATGTGATTTCATGCACGGTTTTTTTAAAAAACAAATTCATGCAAAGTTTTTAAATTCTTTTGTTTTGAAAGTTCTCAAAATTGTGGCGAACGGATTATTTTGTAGCTTTGCAAAAAGATACAAAATAATCCGTTCGCTACAAATTCGCTACAATTTTGAAAATTCTCAAAGCAAAAGAATTTAAAAATGTCAAAAAGTCATCGTCTATTCTCGTATTTTAACAAAAAGACGCACCTTTTGTGGTTCACTTTTCACATTTGTTGTCCCCGAATTATGCT